CTGGGAAACCGAAGGGCCTCCAATTCATGTGGATGTTACATGAGACGTACCATCTTCCTAAACACTGCTGCTGACCAAGTACACCCTTCATGAAAATGGTATTCCCTGATGGCAGCAGCCTCTTTCAGCAGGATAATGCACCCTGCCTCACTTCAAAAATGGTTCAAGAATGGTTTGAGGAACACAAGTTTGAGGTGTTGACCTTCAAATTCTCCAGATTTCAATCGACTGAGTATCTGTGGGATGTGACGAAAAAACAAGTCCAATGCATGGAGGCCTCGCCTAGCAACTTACAGGACTTGGAACTTACATTATCTGCTACTTACAGCTTGGTGCCAGATAACACGGCATACCTTCATAGGTCTTGTGGTATCTATGCCTTGACGGGTCAGGACAAAATGCGGACCTACTCAATATTGGGTGGGTGGTCATAAAGTTATAACTGATCAGTGTATATTATTTTAATTCAGTGAATGCATATTTTAATTTACTTTTGCTTACGTTGACTTTATACCAGGGCCCTGCATAAGGGGGTACCACCAGTACTCCTATATGGGGATCAAGCCAGCAGGGGGGCCCAGGCAGCTGGGTGAATCAGACATGGGCAGGGGAGGGTGATCGACATGGTGGTGGGGGGCAATTACTGGAACCAATCCCCTGTATGTCTCTCTTTCTGCAGCAGCTGAAAGCCGGCTTCCTCTCCTCTCCCATTCTCCACTGGCTTTCAGCTGCTGCAGAGAGAGACATACAGGGGATCGGTTCCAGAAATGTTCCAGCCCCTTCCTTTCCTGAATGAACACAATGAGTGATTGGTACTGATCACTCACTGTGTTCATTCATACCTGAAACCTAGTAAACTGTGTTTTTTTTTTTTTTTGGGGATAGGGGGCAATGCTAGGTTGGCTGTTTTGAGATCTGTGGTTTGGGGGGCCCTGTCAGGTTGACTGTAAGGCTCCGGTGGTTTCTAACAGCAGCCCTGCTTTATACAGTTTGCCAGTTTGGACAGAAACTACTCAAAGGTCAAAATGATGACAAGACATCACTTACAGATAGAATTATTTTTTAAGTCTATTACAGTATCATTAAAGTGATACTAAACAGAAGTGTTAATCACTTGCCCTCCAGAGGATTTATATCCCTTCCTGACCAGGCCATTTTTTGTGATACGGCGCTGTGTGTTACTCTAACTGACAATTGCGTGGTCATGCAACGCTGCAGCAAATGAAATTTACATCCTTTTTTTCCCACAAATAGAGCTTTCTTTCTTTGGTCTTTGGTCATCTGTGAGTTTTTATTTTTTTTGTGCTGCTAAAACTATAAAAAAAAAAAACATTTTTGAGAAAAAAAAATATATTTTTGACTTTTTGCTATTAAATGTCCAGTAAAAAAATTAAAAAAATCAAATTTCATCATACATTTAGGCCAAAATGTTTTCTGCTACACAAATGTCTTCGCTAAACAAAATCCCAATACATGTAAATTAATTGGTTTACATGAAAGTTATAGCATTTACAAATGGCGATATATATACTGGGATTTTGTTTTTACTAGTAATGGCGGCGATCAGCGACTTATAGCAGGCATTCTGACACTGGGTGGGAACTAACATGGTGTCACTGACATCCCCAGTAACAGCAATACAATGATCAGTGCTAATAAAAAGCATTGATACTGTACTAATGACACTAGACAGGAAGGGGTTAACGTTTTGTTTTTTTTGACAACGGCTTTATTTTCAATGATAGAGATGGCAGATCTTGAATGTGTGCATGTAGGGGACTGGAGCTGAGTTTTTTTATGTGCGTGTGGCTTGCTGTGTGGGCTGGACTCTGCGCGGATTGACTGGTGTCAAGAGAAAGGGGAGTGTGTGGGAGACCTTCTGCAGGCCAACGGTGGGTCTGCCGGGGGAGGGGGCAGGGGGTGCCGGTGTGTGGAGAGGAAGAGAGAAACTTTGGCTCTGCTGTGGGTAAGCTGCATGTCTGAAACATTGGGCAATAGGAGTTGCTTGTGCCTGGTGCTGGTGGTGAGTAGACTGGTGGAAAGCCAGGGGCCGGGACATGGTTTCTGGTCGCCATTGCGACATGGGATTTGTCAAGCCATGCCCCTCACATATATCCTGGTTCCCCCCTCTGTATATCCCTCCCCCCCTCCTCTATAAAAACAATGTATCTGGTTCCCCCCCCCACTCTATATATGCCCTGGGTTTGGTCCTCCCCCCTGTATACACCCCAGGTCTGGTTCTCCCGCCTGTATGTGTACACACACTCGCACACACACACACACACGCACTCTCACACACTCACGCGCACACACACACACATGCACTCTCTCTTTCTCTCACACACACACTCTCTCTCTCACACATACACTCACACACACAGACACACATACACTCTCTCACACACACAGAGGCTCTCACGGGCATAGCAGGCGGACATACAGTCTAGGCAGCTCCATCCTCCACCAGAACACCTCCATCGCATCAAGCGCCTGCAGGGAGTACTGCCAGTCCACCCACTCTGTCAGTTGGGGGTCACATGGAGCAGCATACTGGCCGCCAGGTCGCCACCTCACCCCCCCGCTGACCCCTTTACCTCCCGCACCGTGTGCGCTCCAGGGGAGCTCTGGAGGGAGCAAGACCAACTCTGGCACGGCAGACAACAGAAGAGCCAACAGAGCTGGCTCATCTTCGGACGCTGAGGAGAGTAGCCCAGCCACCCCTACTGTCACTCACACCAGGCCTGACAGCTGGACATCGGACTCCAGCCTAGCCTACTCTCTGCTTCCAGGGAAACTATGGAGACCTGCAAGGAGGAGAGAGAAGGATTGATTGCCCTGCGCCTGTAGCTGCATGGACGGGGCATAGAGCAGTGGGAGTTGCTGGTGTGAGTGGGCTGACCATGCTCAGGGGCCAGGTCGTAATTTCAGGTCGCCATGTCGAACTGGTGCTTGGGATTTGTGGAGCCCTGATCTAAATGATTCAGAGAAGGATTGGGAGAAAGTTGTGGTCAGATGAGACCAAAATTGAGCTCTTTGGCATTAACTCACCATGTTTGGAGAAAGAAAAATGCTGACTATGACCCTAGGAACACCATCCCTACAGTCAAGCACAGAGGTGGAAACTTTTGGGGTTGTTTCTCTGCTAAAAGTACAGGCCAGCTTTGCCGCATTGAGGGGGGCAATGAACGGGGCCTTGTATTGTAAAATCTTGGATGAGAACCTTCTTCCTTTAGCCAGAACACTGAAGATGAGTTGTTGATGGGTCTTCCAGCATGACAATGACCCAAATAATACTGCCAAGGCAACAAAGGAGTGGCTCCTGAAGAAGCACATTAAGGTCATGGAGTGGCCTAGCCAGTCTCCAGACCTTAATCCTATAGAAAATTTATGGAGGGAGCTGAAATTTTGAGTTGTTAAGTGACAGTCAGGAAACCTTAAGGATTTAGAGAAGATCTGTAAAAAATAGTGAACCAAAATCCCTCCTGAGACGTGTGCAAACCTGGTAACCAACTACAAGAAACACAAAAATATACTTTTGAAGGACTTCCTGTTGTGTCTTTTGGACAAGTAAAGGGAAATCTCACCAATGGGACAGAGACAGCAATAAAGAAACTTGCAGGGGTTTTAACTTTTTCCAAAATAAAATATTAAATTGGCTACAAATGAACTTACAGTAGCAATAATCCCTGTTCTTAGTTTGTGGGGAAAAAAATATAGTGTATACAATTGCGACTCAAGTCATATTGTAATTGAATGTTATTAAAAATTACCTTTCCTTTTCCTTTGTGCTGTAATTTTTCTGTAAAAGGCAACATTGCTACCTGGAGGCGTTCTATGCACAGATGGTGTACAGAACGCCGCCTGGAAATGTAATTTTTTGCTTGTGTGATTGGCTTACTGATTTTCCCAGAAGTCTCCACTAAGATACAAGTCAGATTTTTGGTGAGATACTCCCAAAGGGAAATCATATCTAAAGGGATGCAGACCTTGCAACCTTCCTCATCAGAGCCCTGCAGGTGCAGCAGCTGATTGATAATTGTAAAACCACTCCCATACAGATTCACTCAGAACATGGACACAAACAAACAAACAGCTATTTCTTCAGAATAACAAAAGGTTGGAATCTGTAGCAAAGTTTGTTAAAATCCTTGCAATGTACATGGATCACCCAGAAAGGAATGTATTTTTTTCAACAAAAGTGGAGTTGCACTCTAAGTCATTGAGCACAATAAAATAAATATTTCCCAGTAAAATTTTTGTTAAAATTCTTACCCAACTTTATTTAAATTCTCCTGGCTCCTGCTCCCTCGATGCTGCTTCTCTGCACTTCTGGTTTTACAAGAAAGAATTAACAGTGGACAGTGCAATCTATTAGTTTGGAGACCTGGGTCAGTGGTTATGGCACAATCTTGAGAGCCGGTTCACACTGCACATCGCATGTGATATGCACAGGAATCGCACTACATTCCTGTGCAAATCACATGCAATTTCTGTGGGGTACAATTTTAGCCATACATTTTGTATGGCTCAAATTGCACTGAATTCACACCAAAAATGTGATCTGATTCTGCAAATCACACTGCATTTTGCAAATCAAAACATACACACACTCACGGTGGTTTACATGAACGGGGTGCAATTTTGATGTGGTTTTGAAATCGCACAGAAACCCGTGCGAATTCTGCACCACATTAGTGTGAACAGGCACTAAAGAGAAATCTAGGCAAGGAATAAAAGATGAAGGAGCTGCTTACTCAGTAAGTGGTTAAATCAGTTGCTGAAAGTGCTTTAAAAACATAAGGTTTAAAATCACTTGAAATGTGTGATGTTATCTGACCATTTTAGGCGCGTTATCATTGAAAGACTCCATTTCATTTCAGTTGGCTTGACTGACAAACTAAAGGTCAGCATGACACTTATTGTGAGTGAGCTCCAATACTGTTTTGTATTGTGGAATAGATGTATTATAAAGAATAATAATATTATTTCTTCTTATGCAGATGCTGGACCTGAGCACAGTATTGCTTCTGGCAGCAGGTGCTCTGTTTGCTTATATTTTATATATTGTTCTGCACGATCAACGGCGTGCATATGCCAAAATTGTCTATCACGAAATTACAATTAGAATCAAGGATCTCTTAATTAATCAAGCAAAGGAACAGCGAGTCTTGCAGTTTGTGGTGGAGAATGCAGTGCGCGGAGACCCTCAAAGCGTGGTGGATCATATTGACAAGTACTGCAGCCAAAAGGAATGGGCCATGAATGTGGGGGATCAAAAAGGTGATTCTTTTACTTTTACTTGTATTACATACATTGTATGACATTACCATAAAAATGTACATTTCATATGCTGAAAGATGAAACTTAATTCTTACAAAGATCAATACGTGTGTTTTTGTATCTAATTGTGCATGGAGGAAATCAAGGAACTGTGCTTATGAGAATGTATCTGTAGGCTAAACGTTTCTTCTCAGGTTTGGATGGAGTAGGGTTAGGTTAGAGGTCCCATGGTCTTCTTGTCATCTGTGTCACCAGTGAGGAGATTCTCTCTCTATTTTTCCTGGTGACCAAGAGGGATGGGAGATCTGAAATGTTACAATTGTCACTGAAAGAAGAGGTGAGGGGAAATCTTCTGACAGGAACCCTTGATTTGGTGACAGCTGTCTAAAAACAACTCCCCAACACAACACAGAAAGTAGAAAAAAACCCGATGGATATGAGCCATTTTGTATTGTATCTAAAAATAATATAGATATGGATAGAGAACATTTCTAAGCATAGGTACTGTGACATAGCAGGGTTTATACATTCTGCTTACTCCTAAGAAAAGCAAAAGTGTAATAAAGTCCATCAAAGAATGCTTATAGACTTAATGAGTTAGTTAAATGTTTCCTAGCGATGACCAAGAACCTGAAGAACCTTCTTCACATCACAGAATCTTTGCTTGGTTAGCCCTTCCCTGTCTATAATTCAACCCAACTTTAAAAGTGAATTCTAGATTTCCTGGCACTTTTAATCATTTATTTTGCCAGCTTGGAACAAACTAATTATTTGCATGCCAAAACAAACAACTAGACTGCTTAGACCGTAATACACTGTAATAGCTTGTGTTATGTGGAAAGATTAGAGGAACTGAATGTATTCTCTCTTGAGAAGAGGAGATTAAGGGGGGGATAGGATCAACATGTATAAATACATCAGTGGTTCATATAGTGAACTCAGTGTAGAGCTATTCACCCTGAGGTTATCACAGAGGACAAGGGGGCACTCTTTATGTCTGGAGGAAAAGAAATGTAGTCTCCAAACACGGAAAGGTTTCTTCACAGTGAGAGCTGTGGAAATGTGGAATAGACTCCTTTAAGAGTTGGTTCTGGCCAGCTCAGTGGATTGCATTAAAAAAAGGCCTGGATTATTTCTTATATACACAGAATATAACTGGATATTAACATTTATAGGTAAAGTTGATCCAGGGAATATCCGATTTTCCTCTCGGGGGATCAGGAAGGAAATTTTTCCCCTCCAGGAGCAATTTGGATCATGCTTTGCTGGGGGGGGGGGGGGGGGGGTTTGCCTTCCTATGGATCAACTGTGGGTATAGGAGTATAACTTTTTTTTTTTTAATGGTTGAACTGGGTGGACTTTTGTCTTTTTTCAGCCAGACTAACTATGTAAGACTTCCCCTTTACTGCCAGCTATAGAAGAGGAGTTGTACCACATCTCCATCATTTAGGGCCAATTGACACTATATGATGTGACAGACGTTTTACCACATGGTCTGTCACCGCAGGGACACACAGGAAACAATTGTTCCGTATGTGTCACATTCACACTGCAATGAAGCCTTGCACTGCGCTGCAGCATGCGGCAATAAAATGCAGACATGCTGCATTTTATCACAGCTCACTAGGCTGAATTGCACTGCAGTCTCAGGCAGCGCATCTCACTGCCTGATATTGCAGTGAATGAAGTGTACGTTTTGTACACTTTAAATAAAGCATGTACAAAACAAAAAAATTGGTGAGCCATGCAGTGCGCACGGCTCCTCTATGCGCACTGTGTAAATCGTGAGCCACACTGCCCCCTAGCCAGCCAGAAATGCAGAGCGGCCAGATCACAGAATCACTCCGGCTGCTCTGTGATTTTACTGATAAGTCGTGTGAATTTGCCCTTAGGAGAAGTCTTTCAATATATTTTTTTCTTTCAATAAATACAAAATTTCCTCTAACTGGCTGAGGTGTGTAGATCATGATGTTATTTGTCTGCCTCTTCACCTCAGCCAACCAGAGAAGGCTTGTATTGTAACTTGTTGCTCCTGAGAGCCTCAGCAAGTACAACGCATCGATTTTTGTTGGCAGTTTGATGCCCACTGACACAGGAACACCTGTTTCTGATGATCAGTGCGGAAAAAGCTGCTAACTGCAGCTCTAAAACACAGATCTGATGCTCACCTGTCAAGCATCAACTCCTATGCCTACACACATGGACATCTGCTTAGTGGGGAAAGACTCAGGATGCTTTGGGCACAACCAAGGTACTTAAATTGGTTCCAAAGGCAGAAGGTTTTTTGCTTTCTATGCAATAAGTTAAAAACTCTTCTGCATTCAGCTTTCCCCGTAGCACCCCCAAAATACTCACCTGAGCCTGATCTCAATCTAGTGATGTGCATGAGAGGCTCTCTCGGGTGTCTCGCTCCTCGTTGGCTCAGATACAGCAGCAGGAGCCATTGACTCCCAGAGCCAGCGAGGCGGGGCGGGGCCAAGTCTGCTCTGTGTGTCTTTTGGGACACAACACAGGACCCAGTAGCCAGCACGTACGAGTGTCCCCATAGCAAGCGGCTTGGTGGTGGAGGCAGGATCTCTGGCGAGGGACCTGAGAAGAGGTGGAGTGGGGGTAAGTATAACACATGTTTGTTAATTTTTTCTAAAAAAAAGACACACACATTGTTTGTTTAACTTACTTTATCCCTTTTCTTCCTGTATATGGATAATGGCAATGCAATTGTAATAAAAACAAAATCTAAGTACAAGTTTAACTGCTTCCCTGCCGCCCTATAGCTGATATACTGCTACAGGGCGGCAGGGGTGAGCAAAATCACATATATACACGTGATTTTGTATTCCTGGCCTGCCATTCGTGGCCGTGGCTGTCAATCACCGGGTCCTGGCCAGTGATTCCCTATGCCCAGTGATTACCGAGCATCTCCGACGGGAAGGAGGACTGCTTTGTTTACTAACAGTCCTCCTCCATGTTGGTTCTGGCACACTACACAGCACAGCCATCCAGAGCAGTGTGCTCACAGTAAAGTACCAACACACCGCCCCCTAGTAAAACACTCTCTGCACATAGTTAACCCTTCAATCGCCCCTCATGTTAACTCATTCCTGCCCAGTGCCATTAATACAGTGTCATTGCTTTTTCTTTAGCACTGATCACTGTAATGGTGTCACTGGGGATGTCAGTGACACCAAGTCAGTTCCTCCCAGTGTCAGAATGCCTGCCGCAGTCCCGCTATAAGTCACTGATCGCCACCATTATTAGTAAAAATAAATAAATTCTAGTATCTATACTGCCATTTGTAAATGCTATAACTTTCACATAAACCAATTAATTTAAACGTATTTGGGATTTTTTTTAGCAAAGACATGTAGCAGAATACATTTTGTCGTAAATTTATGAGGAAATTTGATTTTTTAAATTTTTTTACTGGACATGTTTAATAGCAAAAAGTAAAAAATATTTTTTTTTCCTGAAAATTGTTGGTCTTTTTTTTTAATAGTGCAAAAAATAAAAAACGCAAAAGTGATCAAATACCACCGAAAGAAAGCTCAATTCTTGGGGAAAAAAGGACGTAAATTTTATTTGGGTGCAGGGTTGCATGACTGTGCAATTGTTAGTTAAAGTAATGCAGCACTGTAACGCAAAAAATGGCCTGGTCAGGAAGGGGGGTAAATCCTCAGGAGGGCAAGTGGTTAACAACGCGGTATTTACTACTGTTAATAAATATGCCGGCTACCACTAGGCGTTAAATTACTGCATGTTTTCAATACTAAAATAACGCATGACTTCAGTAGCCCCACCTTGAAGGGAACAGCTCACAAATAGAGCCCAGAGAGAGGGCTCCTCCTGAGGACGCGGATCCCTTTGATAATGTGCGTGTGCACCGAAACGTGTGAGGGAGGAGCCTACGTGCTGATGTCAAGTCGCCGCGTCCATACGATGGTCCAGCGGCCATCTTTGTAAGTGGATTCACCTTTCTGTTTGCTCCATGTGCATGTTTTTACATTTCTAATAAAAATACTGCACCATAAGCGCTTTCTCTCTCTGGGCTCTATTTGTGAGCTGTTCCCTTCAAGGTGGGGCTATTTTATGCTGAGGATTGAGTGATCTGTTGGAGGTATCCCCTATTTTGCCTGACAGCTATGTATTCCCTTTACCTGTGCCTGATGGTGGATAAGGCTGACCTGTTGGAGGAGTTTGTTACCACTGCTTTTAATGCGCATCCAATATGCGCTTCTGGTGAGTGCATTAGAAGGAAGAATTTGTCACGGATTCACCTATCACTTGATGTCATGATCATCTTTTGGACTTTGTTGATATATTTGTTAATTGGTCATTTTATCACTTTGATTTTTCTCTGATTTACAACATTTGTTGATTTGTTCACTGCAGTCACAATACAGATATACTGTATTTGTCGACATTACGCTGCATTTTAGCGCTGCACTATATTTGCTCATTCACTTATACTTCTATATTTGTCACCATAGCGCCGGAATAGAGCGCTTCACCATTATCATATATAATTTTTTTTGCTTGTTCACTCAAGTCACCATTTATTCATTTTTTTTATAAGAACGCTAGAGCATTGAGAATTATTTAACTGTCATATGTCATTTTTACTAGCACTACTGCACTTTTTTCTTATCACCCGTGTACATATGCTGTCCCTAAGTGGAGATAACAGACTCTTTGAAATGTGACTAAGGCTATTGGGCTACAATCCTAAGTATTTGCTGCTGCAGTGTGTAACTGTTCTACTAAACCGTCATGGCCCACCTACGATTCTTGGACATCATGACCACCAGATACAGCTTTTTGTGTGCCCAGTACATGATATCATTACAGTAGCCACAGGAAGTTAGAACACAGCAGCAAAAAGACGGGAATTTGGAGATTTGGAAGAGGCTAAGAGCAATGGAAGATACTCTTTTGAGTTAAGAATTCTTACTTTAATAGAATTATTTCTTTTTAAACCAGAGTTTTATATTGTATACTTTAAATATTTTATACCAGTTTACTTTAACAATCTTATGTATCGTGTTTTGTGTATTTATTACAGGCCTGATCCTGGACAATGTAGTGAAAGAGACCAACCCAAACACATTACTTGAACTGGGCACCTACTGTGGATACTCAACAGTCCGAATAGCACGACTCTTAAAGCCGGGAGCTCGTTTTCTTACTGTAGAATTTAACCCTGCATATGCTTCTGTAGCCAAACAGATAATTGAGTTTGCTGGACTTAAAGACAAGGTATGTTTTACCACAGCCTTCTAAATACAGTAGCTTGTTAACTGTTAAAGCCCTATTTTAGTGTTTGACAGGAGAGTTTCTTTTGGTGAGTTTTGTGTGCTTGATTTCTTGTATTTACACACCTGCTGTGCAATTATGAAGAGTTCCCATAATCCCTGTTGGCAGGGAGATCTCACTATTGGAAGCAGATAAGAAGCCATCTGCTGACTCCAGATCTACCAGGCTCCACTTAGAGCTAAAATATCACTTTTATGCAGAATACCCTTTTATTTATTTCTTATGTACTGTAGTATTTTTGTTTAGTTCAGATCCATCCTAAAAACCCATTTAAGGTATAAAGGTAACGTTGGCAAGCATTATTTTAGCAGAACAGAGAACATATTGTACTTTAACCACTTGATCCAGCCAGTCTTTTGGGTATTGGTGGTTTATTTACAGGCAATGGATGCTGATCCTAACTGCTTGCATTCCAGTTTTAGAAATAAGGACATAAGGGGTCTGTGTCAGGCAGTTGTAGTGCCCCAGAAGCTGCCTCTCCATTTTCATCTCAGAGAATAGAGCAGATGTATGTGACAACATGGCCAGTGAGCAATAATACTTTAAAGCAGCAACTCCAGTCAATAACTGAAAAAAAACAATAGCCCATCAAAAGATAAAACAGAAAAAAAGTATATTTTTGCTGCAATACCTTTTAATATGGAATACTTGTTTTGCACCACTAGATGTCCTCAGTTTAATGGGTTGAATGACGGGCAGCATTATACAGTGCACTTCCTCTCAGACCAGGCTGTCACGGGCCCTCCCCCAGTTTTGGCTGGCCAGTGAAAGGAGAAGCAGCACAGTGATAAGCTCACTCTCCGCTACTCTGCTATCTGCTCCCATCAGCATGCTTCTTGGCAGCATATGAACAGATTGGGTCATATGCTGCTTCTCCATCTCCCTCTCTAAGCACTGCTGTACAGAGATTTCTATAGACTGATACAAAGTTACATTGTTACAATGCTTGCATTAAAAAAAATTAAGTCCCATTCACATTTAAGCATTCCATTGGGGTGCTTTAATGTACGTTAACTGCACTATGTTACGGCAGTTAATTCATTAAGTATTGGGCTCTACTTTAGAATGCGCACACACCGCACATAGAGATTTAGTATGCTTTGCCATAACTCAGAAATATGAATGAGCCCTGAATGCCAGTTCACATATACAGTGGGGCAAAAAAGTATTTAGTCAGCCACCAATTGTGCAAGTTCTCCTACTTAAAAAGATGAGAGAGGCCTGTAATTGGCATCATAGGTAGACCTCAACTATGAGAGACAAAATGAGAAAAAAAATCCAGATAATCACATTGGCTGATTTGGAAAGAATTTATTTGCAAATTATGGTGGAAAATAAGTATTTGGTCACCTACAAACAAGCAAGATTTCTGGCTCTCACAGACCTGCACCTTCTTCTTTAAGAGGCTCCTCTGTCCTGCACTCATTACCTGTATCAATGGCACCTGTTTGAACTTGTTATCAGTATAAAAGACACCTGTCCACAACCTCAAACAGTCACACTCCAAACTCCATTATGGTGAAGACCAAAGAGCTGTCGAAGGACTACAGAAACAAAATTGTAGACCTGCACCAGGCTGGGAAGACTGAATCTGCAATAGGCAAGCAGCTTGGTGTGAACAAATCAACTGTGGGAGCAATAATTAGAAAATGGAAGACATACAAGACCACTGATAATCTCCCTCGATCTGGGGCTCCACGCAAGATCTCCCCCGTGGGGTCAAAATGATCACAAGAATGGTGAGCAAAAATCCTAGGACCACACAGGGGGACCTAGTGAATGACCTGCAGAGAGCTGGGACCAACGTAACAAAGGCTACCATCAGTAACACACTACGCTGCCAGGCACTCAGATCCTGCAGTTCCAGACGTGTCCCCCTGCTTAAGCCAGTACATGTCCGGGCCCGTCTGAAGTTTGCTAGAGAGCATTTGGATGATCCAGAAGAGGATTGGGAGAATGTCATATGGTCAGATGAAACCAAAATAGAACTGTTTGGTAGAAACACAATTCATCGTGTTTGGAAGAGAGAGAATGCTGAGTTTCATCCAAAGAACACCATACCTACTATGAAACATGGGCTTGGCAACATCATGCTTTGGGGCTGTTTCTCCGCATAGGGACCAGGACGACTGATCCATGTACAGGACAGAATGAATGTTGCCATGTATCGTGAGATTTTGAGTGCAAACCTCCTTCCATCAGCAACGGCATTGAAGATGAAACGTGGCTGGGTCTTCTAACATGACAATGATCCCAAACATACTGCCCCGGGCAATGAAGGAGTGGCTTCGTAAGAAGCATTTCAAGGTCCTGGAGTGGCCTAGCCAGTCTCCAGATCTCAACCCCATAGAAAACCTTTGGAGGGAGTTGAAAGTCCGTGTTGCCCAGCGACAGCCCCAAAACATCACTGCTCTAGAGGAGATCTGCATGGAGGAATGGGCCAACATACCAGCAACAGTGTGTGCCAACCTTGTGAAGACTTACAGGAAACGTTTGACCTCTGTCATTGCCAACAAAGGATATATAACAAAGTATTGAGATGAACTTTTGATATTGACCAAATACTTATTTTCCACCATAATTTGCAAATAAATTCTTTCCAAATCAACCAATGTGATTGTCTAGATTTTGTTTCTCATTTTGTCTCTGATAGTTGAGGTCTACCTATGATGCCAATTACAGGCCTCTCTCATCTTTTTAAGTGGGAGAACTTGCACAATGGGTGGCTGACTAAATACTTTTTTGCCCCACTGTATGCGGATTAGATGCGGTTTGAAACGCATCCAATCTGCATGGCATGAAAAAAATCATTGCTTCCTATGGTGCCTGTTCACATATGCCTGGTGCACTGGCAGTGCAGATTCAGTGTGGTTTGAAAAAGAGTCATGTACAATTTCAGAGCAGTACCTTCAGGTTCAGGTGCAGATTACAGGCTATTGACTTCTATGGGAACCATTTCTAAACTGCATATGTGTGAACAGGATAAGATGCAAACTTAATGCTGGCCTGAACCTGATATAAACCTGACATGAACCGCTTAACAACTACTGTATCAATTAGCTGTGAAACCTGAGCGTCAATCTGTACTGCAAATGTGTAAATCAGCTTTGAATGATGTATTAATCTATATACAAATAAAAAGACACCAAATTGCTAAAAAATAAAAGCTGAATAATTATAAACATATAAGTGAAAATCTGCAAACTTCCAACAAGTGTTGTAATACATGGTGATGAATCCTCCAGACTCTCAAAAGGAAAAAGATTTTGTTGATCTCTCGCCAGACTAGATCACCACCACCTCTCTGACATCTCTGCCCCGCCTATCCAACTCATCCAATCAGAAAACACTTTGGATTCTTTCAGAAAATAGAAAGCATTCTCTGAATGGCACTTATGCTAAATAGGCATTTGAATGCCTCAGCACAGGACACGGAAGCAAGTGGAGATCACTGGATTAGTAGTGTCTTTTTCAGTGATGTCTAGTTTCCAGGGGAAATCAGCCAGGTATGATATACACGATATTGCCAAAAGTATTGGGACACCTGCCTTTACAAGCACATGAACTTTAATGCATCCCAGTCTGTAGGGTTCAATATTGAGTTGGCCCACCCTTTGCAGCTATAACAGCTTCAACTCTTCTGGGAAGGTTGTCCAGAGGTTTAGGAGTGTGTCTATGGGAATGTTTGACCATTCTTCCAGAAGCACATTTGTGAGGTCAGGCACTGATGTCGGACAAGAAGGCCTGGCTCGTAGTCTCTGCTCTAACCCATCCCAAAGGTGTTCTATCGGGTTGAGGTCAGGGCTCTGTGCGGGGCAGTCAAATTCCTCCACCCCAAACTCGCTCATCCATGTCTTTGTGGGCCTTGCTTTGTGCACTGGTGTGCAGTCATGTTGGAACAGGAAGGGGCCATCCCCAAACTGTTCTCACAAAGTTGAGAGCATGAAATTATGCAAAATGTCTTGGTATGCTGACGCCTTAAGAGTTCCCTTCACTGGAAGCCCAACCCCTGAAAAACAACTCCACACCAAAGTCCCCCCCCCTCTACCAAACTTTACACTTGGCACAATGCAGCCAGGCAAGTACCGTTCTCCTGCCAACCACCAAACCCAGACACGTCTATCGGATTGCCAGGCAGAGAAGCGTGACACGTGTCAGAGGAAAAGACGAGGAAGCATGGGCAAATGCGCCAATGTGCAATATGACCACGCCAATTCGCGCGCAAAGAAGTGCGCATGTGCATAGGCGGGCGACACGTAATAAAGCATTCCTGTGCACGAAAACACACCAAAACACGCAGGGTGCACTAATTGCTGACACTCAGTGGCCTTTATAAGGACTGCAGCTCTGCTCAGTGAATGCTGGATTATCGTCAGCCCCTCCCGTTCCTGTGTTCCTGAGTTTCCTGCTGATTACCTGTTACCGACCTGGCTTGCTCCTGACCTTGTTCCTGTCTGCTACTCTGTGTATGATCCTGGCTTGCTCCGTACCTTGCTCCTGTCTGCTACTCTGTGTATGACCCCGGCTTGATCCTGACGTTGCTCTTGTCTGCTGTTCCGTATTGATCCTAGCTCTGGCTACTGACTACTCTACCCATCCTCTGGGATCCACGTGTTCTCTGGAGAAACTCCTCCTGCAACTGGAGCACCCACGGGTTCCATCTCATCAGGCATTTCCAAGCAGTAACACCACTGGAAACCCGTGCTTCTTTGGGCACTGCACCTCCTGTTTCCACCTCCAGGGGTGCAATGCACTCAGCCGTAAGGCGAGCCCTCTCTCTATTGCTGCCTCCGGTCAGGTACGTGACAATTTGTCACTCCAGAGAATTTCTCCAGTGCTCTAGAGTCCAGTGGCGGCATGCTTTACACCACTGTATCCGACGCTTTGCATTGTAAGGCGTGGATGCAGCTGCTCGGCCATGTAAACCCATTCCACGAAGCTCT